CTTAATATCTGCATTCCCAGGCTGGGATCTGGCACTGAGCCCTCTGTGGAGCAGGAGTGTCCCCACAAAAGGCCACCAAGCCCCACCACAAGGCTGTGTGGGGACAGTGGAATGGGCCAAGAACTGTCAGAGCAGGGACTTCCAGGCTAAATTAAATGTTAAATGTGTTAAATGTGTTAAATGTGTGATGAATCCAGGGTAATACTGAAACCTCCAAATTCCTACACAATGGCAGAATTGTGGAATTGTTTAAGCTGGAAAAGCCCTCTGAGATCATCAAGGTGAGCCATGTCCCCAAGTGCCACATCTTCAAGTTTTTCAATCCCTTCAGGGATGGGAGGCACCCAGGAAGGAATTTTCCAATTTTCCCTGTTCCCAGATCCCAAATCCCCCTGGCTGTCCCCTCCTGTCAGGGAGTTGTGCAGAGCCACCAGGTCCCCCCTGATCCCCCTTTTCTCCAGGCTCAGCCCCTTCCCAGCTCCCTCAGCCACCCCTCAAAGTCAGCTCCAGGATAATCCTATTACCTCACCCCATAACTCACATCCAAACTGCTCAACACTTTAAAGTATTTCTAGGAAACTCAGGAGCACAGAAACTTGGCTTCAGTGGAAAATATTATGATTAATATGGGGATGCACATCTTGCTCATTCACACTGATAAACTAAGTAGTTGTGTCATACAGCAGGGTATTAAAATTAATTTCCTTCTGCTCCCATGACTTGGGGCAGGATTCTCCTAATGATGCATATTAGCATTAGGAAGCAGTGCAACATGAAAATAACTGGGTTTGCTGGAGGAAATTGGAACTGGGGAGTCCCATCAGTCTCAGAGACAGAGCAGGAGCAGACACAGCTCACTGAGTGTCTGTGTGATGCCAAAATTACAACGAGAAACAGGAGAGGGTCACGTGGCCTTCATAAAAAAATGTTGTACAGCAAAAGCAACGGGGTGAAGGAAAACTGGGATGTCAGCTGCTCTGCATGAAAATTGTGTGAAATGGTGATGGGGACTGGGAGCTGCACAGCAAAGGGACACTGGAGATGCAGAGCTGGTTATGAATAAAATCTATGGACAGTGGGGCTTGGGACTGGCACTGAAAGCAGGCAAAAATATTGCACCTCTCCACTGGAAACAGAGGGACAAGATAGTGAAGATAGCAACAATTTTTCATAAAAATGCCAGAAATGGAACAGCTTCAAGGACAGGGAAGTGCATTGAGTAAGGACAGACAGAGATCCTGAGCATGGGGCACACAGGGTAGGAATGGCAATTCTTGAAAAAGGGCTCTGATTTCACACTGGGGCTCTTCTTTATTGCAAAACAGATTTATTTTCTCCTTAGAGAGTCACAGAATGGTTTGGGTTAGAGAAGGCCTTCAGTATCACCCAGTGCCACCCCTGCCATGGCAGGGACACCTTCCAGTGTCCCAGGGTGCTCCAAACCCCAATGTCCAGCCTGGCCTTGGACATTCCAGGGATCCAGGGGCAGCCACAGCTGCTCTGGCAATTCCAGCCCAGCCAGCAATTCCTAATTCCCAAGATCCCATCCATCCCTGCCCTCTGGCGCTGGAAGCCATTCCCTGTGTCCTGTCCCTCTGTCCCTTGTCCCCAGTCTCTCTCCAGCTCTCCTGGAGCCCCTTTATTCCCTGGAATGTTCTGGAAGCTCTCCCTGGATCCTTCCCTTCTCCAGGTGAACATTCCCAGATCTCCCAGCCTGGTTCCAGCCCTGAAGCAGCTCCATGGATTCCTCTGGATTTGCTCCAGCAGCTCCAGGTGCTGCTGTTGTTGTCCCCAGGGCTGGGGCAGCTCTGCAGGTGAGGTCTCACCTGAGAGGGGCAGAGGGGCAGAATCCCCCCCCCTCCTGTGCTGCCCATGGGGAGTTCTGGATCCCAATGTCCATGTCCAGCTTCTCATTCACCAAAATCCCCAAGTCCTTTCCCCAAGGGGCTGCTCTCCATCCTTTTCTCCCCTCAGCCTGGATTTGTGCTTGGATTGCCCTGACCCCTGTGCAGGACCTTGCACTTGTAAGGAAATCATTAACACAGTGTGGGGCACCCCAAACTCAGTGACTTCAGCACTGCTTTATCTCTGGGTTTTGCTCTAATCAAGAACCACCACGATGAAAAACTGTGACAAATTTCCCTCCAAGCCTGATGTGTGAACCCCTAAATCACAGCTGCACATCCCAGTCAGGTGCAGAGCAGGGGAAGGTTGTTCTTGAACTGCTTTGTTAAACTCTCTGCTATTGCTCTGCTGCTGTGGAGCATGTAATAACTAATAGCTCATGTGCTATCTCTGACCTAGAAACACTGGCAGCTGTTAGGGGAATTGCTGGGTTTTGGGGAAGTATCAAAAGGTTTTTAGCACATAAACCAAATTTATGAACAGTTATTCCCCTGGAGAATAGAATTGTTGATGTTTTACTATCACAGTTATTTTGTCCTGTATTAATATCCTGTAAAGGTTGAGCATCTTCCCTCAGTCACTGAAATATTTTATAATTGACAGGCTTCATCTGGCACTGAATATGGATAATTTTCTCCATAAGGAGCACGCTGTGCTGACACTAATCTGTTCTGTTGTCATCTCCCTTTATTATCAACGTCTGCATTGTTTTTTCAGCAGCACTGAAGAACACAAATACGAAGCTTCTAATTGAAAAGGCTAAATAATCAAAAAGCCAATTAATCATCGAGATGAGCTCTGACACTCCATGATGCAACAGCCAGAAATACCACATAGACATAACTGAAGTGTTTTTAAAGTGTGCTTATTTGATGTGGGAATGATCTGAGATTGTAATTAGCATTCTTTGTCACAGGTGACAGACTCGGATTGAACATTTCTTCATCGTGACATTCATTCTCTGAGCTCCACTTGCTCCCAGCCCACCTCCTGTTCTGAACTTCCCTGTGCTGAGGAGCTCTGCTCTGTCTCTGGGCACCTTCCACTGAAATCAGGACAAGTTCAGGAACAACAAACCAGCCTCTTTTCATGCTCTGTCAATTCCAGGCCTTCCTTTTCTTCCCTTTTTTTTTTTTGTTTTTTTTGTTTTTAAAGCTCTATTTCCATCCCAATTTTCAAAATTCCCAGCACAGAAGCTCACAGGTGACCCAGTGAGGGAAGGTGGAATTGCAGGAGCTGTGACCCCTCTGCCTGTCCAGGTTTTCACTCTGCAATCTCCACCTCTCTGAAGAAATTCCAAGTCAGATTTGGAACACAGAATTCTCTCCTCTCAGAGCTGGAACAGCACTTTTTTGTGTAGGAGAGAGATGAAAATTTACCTTGATGACAAAGTGGATGACAACTTGGAAAAAGCAGAGGATTTTACCTCATAAATAAAGAGCCAGAATGAAAAGACAAGGCTTGGTACCACAAAAACTCCACTCTGAACACAGAGTTCATCACCCACGGTAGAAAACAAAGAATTCAGAACCTGTCTTGGAAATTTCCAAGACAAGCAGAGAAACCAAGAGGTGGCAGAATTTCCTATTTCACATCCCCTGGAGGATGTTCCAGCAGAACTCAAATAAAGTTATTTACAGTTCATTATCTCCCTTGCACAGCACAAAAATGGATTTACACACATTGGAGTCTTCACTAACAGGGGCAAGTGAAGCCACTGGACCAGTGACCTACATGAAAAATATGAAAAATGACCAAGAAAAACATCTAAAAAGATATAAAAGGTAAAAAAAGGTGAAAGAAAAAGCTGTCCAAGATGCATGGTTTATCAGACATGCTTTGCTATGAATTATTCCACACTAAGAGCACAGCTCCAACCAGCCCAGAAAAATCCAGTCTGGATAAAATCCCACTGAGGTTTTTTCCTCTAACACCAAGCCAGTTAGTGGAGAAAAAGGAAAGTGTTCTATGGAGTTTTTTGGTGAAATATCTTAATTTTTAGCTGTTTAAATAAAGCATCCAATTTAGAAGCATTAAACTGATTTCCTCTGATCCTTTCAAACTCCTTCTCATTGCCAAGAACACGGGACTTCATTAATGTCACCTTCAAAAAAGGAGGACAAAACACTGACATGGTATCAGATGTACCCTCAATTGAAAATATTCATTAAGAACCAATTATACACACTGATAATTCATGCAGCACATTCCACATTCTACCTCCTAATCCAAAAAAAAGAAGGAATTGTCTTCTGGCCTCTTAAGCTGCATCAATGGATGTGTAACTTGTTAATCATTTTAACCAATTAACACAAAAAAAAAAAAAATCTGATTTAATCACCAATATATAAGCTGAGGAAGAAGGCAGAGGGGTAAAGGAGGCAAATGTATTCAGGCTGGAGGTTACAACCAACCTGAAAGCCAGGAAATCATGACAGCTGTAATTATTTGGAATTAACAAACATCCTATAAAATAAATTCTGTAAAGAACAGGAATGTTAACAGCAATATGTTAAGGCACTGTAAGCAAGTCCCACAGCTTCCCAAGCTGCTCTCTACAGTTTAATTTCAAGTCTGTGATGAGATAAAAAGACAGAAATGCTTTTTAAACACGGTATAAACTTGGAATTAAAATTCAAACTCTCCATGTACTGATGGAGGAATCAGTAATTCCACCCACTGAAAGCAGAAATTCACTCTGTCCCTTCACACTTCACTTTTTCTTGTTGTTATTTTAATTTAAATTACTTTACTTGGTGACACTTCTTCGCTTCCACTGGCTCTTCATCAGCGTTGGTATAAAATAACCTCATTATTTCATTTTTCTGTCTGTAATTACCGTGACAGATGAAATCCCACAGCAAATGTGAGAACTTTGTTAGCAAAGAAAACAAATATTCTCCCATCAAACCTTCCACCTTGCCAATATTAAGGCAGAAACAGCAGCAGCAATATAAAAATAACCCCTCTGGCCAGAATTTTAATCTTTATCTCCTTAAAAAAGTCTTCTTGTAAATGCAACCAGGAGCAGAAATGAACAGAAAGGGGAAAAAAAAGGAAAAAAATGTTCATTAGAAGGAAAAAAAAAGTTTTACCCTTTCTTCCAGCCGAGCCAGCTGCTCTTTGTAGTAAGCATCATGTTTCTTCAGCTCCCTCTCCTTCTCTTCCAGCTGCCTGGCCTAAAAAAAAAAGGAAGAGAATAATAAAAATATTGAATTAAGGATATTTTCCATAGTTCTGGGCTTTTTTCTCCTCTTCTCAACAGCTCTGCCTGAGTTTGCCCAAATGGATTTGGAAACGTGACCAGAATGCACCAGGCTGGGATTTATTTTTATTTTTTTTTTTATTTTGAATTAACTTGACAAATCATTTCTAAACTAAGGAAAATCGAATTCTAAACAGGTGCATATTTGGGAAGAAGAAAATCTTTTTATATATTTGCTAAAAAAGTGCACCCAAAACTCTCCTGTCCTCTTTAATTAGGAATCACTCCTCTGGAAACTCCCAGATTGCTTCAAGTATCCACTAAGTTGAAAAACTTGACCACAGGACCACTCCCATGTCCAATAATCTAAAATAATACAGAATAATTTAAAATATTTATCTTTTCAATCCTAATATGACCTGAGTGTTCTTTTAAGAGACACTGCTCCCAGCAAATTGATGTTTTTGGCTTTTCATCTGCAGTATTTCCCATTTTCTAGGATTAAGGGGACTCATTAAAAATTAGAAAATACATTTAAAAAGCACACATGCACAGAGGAATTTATTAAAAATATATAAAGCTCTAAGTCCTGCAGTGTAAAGAGCAGACAAGTGATTTTTAACAAGCTACAAAGGATTTAACACCTAATTTATCAATGCAAATACTTTCCAGGTTTATCATTTTTTAATAAAATATCTTTAGTGACTAATAATTATCAAATTATTAATAGTATTAGTAATATTAATAATATTAGAAATAATAGTCATTACAGCAATTACACCACATATTGGACAGATACAAGACTTGATTCCCTTTGTCAAGATTAATTTTTGGGGGGTTTTTAGGAAACACCCAAGGAATACATTAAAAAATTTGGATTTTCCCTCGTTTCCTTATTCAACTGCTTACCTTTGTTTCTATGTCCTGAAGCATGTTAAAAAATGTTAAAATTCCAATTAAATTTATTATAGAATGGTGAACAGAAAGAATGCAAAAAAAACCCCCCACACATATGTCAGGTTTATCTGGAAAAATGCAGAAAACTACTTGGGAAAATATTGGGGTCTTTTGTGCAATTCCTTCAAAAATGTCCCCCAAAAAAGCCAAATTTTGGATGATTCAAACTCTGTCCTCTGGCAGCCTCTCCATCAGAATTCCATGGAGCACCTTCCATGTATTTAAATCAGCATTTAAATCAGCCTTGCCTCACTAATTACAGGTTTTCCAGAGCTCATTCCATGAACAATTCCACAGCCAAATTCCCATTTTTGGTTTCTCCTCACACATAATCCCTGCTGACCTCCCAGACCTGGTGGTTACAGAACCACTTAAAATTCACTGCAGCTTTTGTGTCCCCCCCACCAAAACCATCCTGTCCCAAATCTGCATTCATGGAATGGTTTGGCTTGGAAAGGGATCTGAAAAATCATCTCATTCCAACCCCAAAACCTTCCCCCATCCCAGGCTGCTCCAAACCCCAATGTCCAACCTGGCCTGGGACACTTCCAGGGATCCAGGGACAGCCACAGCTGCTCTGGCAATTTGTGCCACAGCACCTCATATTCCAGATCTCATATTCCATGTATCACATTCCAGATCTAATATTCCATATCTCATATTCAATATCTCACACTCCATATCTAATAACCCACGTCTCATATTCCAGCTCTAACATTCCAGATCCCATATTCCATATTTCATACTCCATATCTGACATTCAATATCTAATATTCCATATCTCATATTCCATGTATCATATTCCAGATATCATTGTCCATATCTAGTATTTCATATCTCATATTCCATCTCTCACATTCCATATCTAATATTCCAAATCTAATATTCCATATCTCATATTACATAGCTAATATTCCATGTCTCATAGGCCATCTCAAATATTCCATATCTAATATTCCATATCTCATATTACATACCTAATATTCCGTGTATCATATTCCATATCTAATAATACATATCTCATAGTCCAGATCTAATATTTTATATCTAATATTCCATATATCAGATTCCATATCTAATATTTCATGTCTCATCTGCCATCTCTAATATTCCATATCTCATATTCCAGATCTCATACTCCACATATAATATTCCACATCTAACACTCCAGATCTCATATTCCATATCTCATATTCCACATCTCCTATTCCACATTTCCTATTCCAGATCTAACATTCCATATCTGCAGGGCATCTTCATGGGTACCCAAAGCAAATATCCCACATCTAACCATGCCATGATCCCCAGAACATCTCCAGAACGTTCCTGCCGTGCAGAACAGGCCGGTGACAAAGAAAAGAGATCATTAACATTCATTAATATTCATAAAGCTCAGGACAACTCAGTTAAGGTTTAGTTTTTACAATCCAGTCGTGCTCCCCACTGTTCTGGGAGTCAAGCTGACTTTGGGAAGGCAATGGGATGGAATAAACCCAGGGATGAAGTTCCTGACTGAATTCTCACCCCATTTCTGCAGGGTGTAAAGCACAACAGGTCAAGGGCCCAGCAGTGACAGAAGAGACTAAACCCATCCTTATCCTCCAGGATTTAAGCTGAGCTTAAATCTTTTTCCTGTCTTGCTGTGATCAGGGAATGCAATAACATTTATTCCAAAGATATCCCTCTGAATGGAAGATTTTGCCCCGGAAATGTGATTTACTTGGGAAGTTGGTTCATTTTTTGGGTTGATTTTTGGGTTTGGTTCCCTGTCCCCCCCTCAAAATAATTAATCATCAAACCAGTTGGATTTTACTGCTCTACAGTGACACTGCTCATTGCCCTGATCTGTCCCTGATAAAGGAGAAATATTGTATATAAAATACTAAATAATCTGTTTATCCAAAGGATTGCTGCCCTGTGTTGTGGAAGTAACCAGAAGATTTGGTTGGCAAGTAAGAAACTCAGCAAAAAAAAAAAAGAGTTTCTTCCACTCCTGCCACTTGTACAGTAACGCAGACACAGCAAAGTTCAAATGAATAAATAATAAATAAAATTATTCATTTATACAGGAGACTATAAATATGCCAATAGAGGAGAACTGAGTGCCAAAATAAAAACCTGTAAAGTAATATTATATTTATGGGGCTGCAGCAACAAGATCCCTGTGAATGTCAATGAGGTGCAAGAAAATAATTAAGAATAGCCATGGTTTCAATTAGCTGAATGCTGCATTTCAGGTGTAAATGAGATAGTGGAACAGGTTGGTTGTTTCTTCATGAAAAAAAAATTCTGATAAACAAAACCTTTGCTTGGGTGTTTTTGAAAGAACAGCTTCAAAAATCCACCTTTGCTTCCCAAACCACCCAAATTGAATACCCCAAAACAGATCACTAATATTAAATAGAGGTTTTTCACAATCACAGGGAAACTGGACCACGATTTAAAGGCCAACTTGGGTTTTGTTTGCAAAAGATTTGGCACAGCACTGGTAGGAGTTGCCATCACTGGAAAAATGGATTTCTTCCCTACAAAAAAAAATTCAGGAATCACCTTGTACCTGACTGCAGGGACACCTGCAGAGCCACCCTGTGACAAAACCAAGCCCTGCTCACACTGGATACAACAAAACCACATTTCTTTTGTCCTCTGTGAGGCAGGACAGAGCAGATAAGCAGCTGGTTGAAAATCTGTTTAATAATTAATTTTTTAAAAATAATAATAACTTTTAAAAAAGGAATCTATTGGTGGATGCAACAAGATTCCAGGTGTGTGTGGTCATAAATTGCTATTAAGGAGCAGATAAAAAAATTCATTATCAGGTGGGTTAATGTAGGTTTGGAGGCAGATTTCAGCCTCAGCTCCTGAAGTTTTTGGCAGCCCCAGGTTTAGAGCACAGCACAAATCCAAGCTCCAAATTCATTAACATCCCAAAAACTGACAGTGGAACTGCTGAGATGGCTCCAGGTTGCATTTCTCTGGGAAAAGAACGATCTACTTCAAAACAAGAGTTGAATTTGAATTTATAAATTAATATCAGCCAGGTGAAAGTCCTTTGAAGGTCCTGCTTCAGGGTCATGTCAAACATCAGGGCACGGGGAAGGGGGACACCAAGGGAATTGTGACCTCCCAAGGCACATCCAAGGATTCCAGACCTGGCACTGGGGCTGGAAGAGCTCCTGCCACATCAGGTTTGGGAGTGAAGATTTTCCAGAGGAAATGCTGATCACAGCAATGAGGAAAGCCCACATGGAATAGCTGCAGGTCTTGGGATGAACCTGAAGGAAAAATTAATGGATTCAAGGTTAAAAGGAAGTGGTGGCAGTTCCCTAAGGAGCTGCCATCCCACAGGAGATCTGCTGGCAGCTCAGGATGAGTGGGATGCACCAGCACAAGAGAGGTCTCAAAACAGGATCTTCACAAAACAGGATCTTAAAACATGATCTCAAAACAGGATCTTCACAAAACATGATCTTAAAACATCATCTTCTCAAAATATGATCTTCTCAAAACAGGATCTTCACTAAACAGGATCTTCTCAGAACATGATCTTAAAACATGATCTCAAAATATGATCTTCCCAAAATAGGATCTTCTCAAAACATGATCTTCTTAAAACATGATCTTCACAAAACAGGATCTTCATAAAACATGACCTTCACAAAATATGATCTTCTCAAAATATGATCTCAAAATATGATCTCAAAACATCATCTTCTCAAAACATGATCTCAAAGCATGATCTTCTCAAAACAGGATCTTGTCAAAACATGATCTTCTCAAAACAGGATCTTCATAAAACATGACCTTCACAAAACATGATCTCCCTCTAGCACATTGTTGGAGGTTTTCCACGTCCTTTCCAACCTGAGGTTCACTGGATGAGCACATCCATGGGTTAGGTGTGAATCCCAGAGTTTGGAATTCAGGTCCAGGCTGTGAGTGTCACACTGTAGAACAGTTTTGGGGCATTTCATAAATCATGGTTTGGGCTGGAAGGGACCTTTTGGATCATCTGCCCAACCCCTGCACAAGCAGCAACATCTTCAACTCCAT